GGCCCCATCATGGGGGCGCCGGGCGCGTGCGGCGGAGGCTGCGCATGCGGCGAGGGCTGCGCGCCCGGCGGGCCCTGCGAGAGCAGCAAAGCAGGCGGTGACGGGGGGGCCCGGGGCGGGGCGGGGGTGCCCTGTGGGTGCCCCCCACCCCGGGCAGTGCAATGGGGAGGCCTGCGGTGACGGGGGCCCGTGGGGACCGCCCTGGCTTGCAGGCGCCCGCGCATGCGAGCACAGGCGCATGCACAAGTGGGGTTTGCACATGGGGACACGCACGTGTGCACAGCACCTCCTGCACCCCAGCATGCACCACATGCATACATTGCATGCGCCACACGTATGTGCCATGTGCATGCACATGTACCACATGCACGCGCTGCATGCACCACACGCATGTGCTGCATGCACCGCATGCATGCACTGCATGCACCATTCATGCTCAGCGGCACCCAGCGCGCCGACGCGCACCGGAGCCCGCGGCGCAGCCGGTCCTACCTGGAAGAAGGCGGGCGGGATGGGCCCCCCCGGCAGCGCCTCGCCGGGGGGCACGGTGCCCATCACGGGGCTGGGCGCCGCCGCCGCGCTCTGCGGGAGACGGGGGCTGAGCGTGGGGGACGCGGGGGGGACACGCGCGGGGGGGCGGCAGCAAATGGGCGCCTTGTTGCAGGGAAAGGGGCCCGACGCCGGGCTGAGGGGTGCGGGGGGCACGGGGGGCGGGTGGCACCCAGCGCTGCCTCTGGAGCTGCTCTGCACCCAGCCCTGCATCCCAGGGGCTCCGGGGGGGCAGCGCGGGGACCCCCCAGCCCCATTTGCTCCCTGTGCAAGAGAGAACCCCCCGCTCGGGGCTGGGGGGCACCAGGGTGGGGGGCCAGCCCGGGTAGGGGTCCTGCGCTGGGGGGGCGGCAGGGGGCCCCGGCCCCCCCCCTCCTGCCGGCCCCGCTCCGAGGGGAGCTCTGAACCGGGGAGGAATGCGCCGGCTTTCCGGCCCGGCCGCGCCGCCACAACTGCTTCCAATTTGGAGGGAAGGGCGGAGGGGGGGAATGGGCGGCCCCGGGGACCACGAGGGACGGACACGGGAACGGAGCGGCTCCTGCAACGGGAACGGGAATGGGTCCTGAACCGGCACCGGGAGCRGGTCCTGCACCGGGAATGGGAACGGGTCCTGAACCGGCACCAGGAGCAGGTCCTGCACCGGGAATGGGAACGGGTCCTGCACCAGCACCAGGAGCAGGTCCTGTCTGGAACTGGTGACACTGGACATGCACCGGGAGCAGGTCCTGAACCAGCACCCGGAGCAGGTCCTGCCTGGCGCTGGTGATGCCGGACACACAACAGGAATGGGTCCTGAACCGGCACCGGGAGTGGGTCCTGCACCGGGAACGGGTCCTGAACAGGGAGCGGGTCCTGCCCGGCGCTGGTGACCCTGGACACGCACCAGCCACGCACAGCGCCCGGAGCTCCCGGGGCCACGCGCAGGGGCCCGGTGCCCCCCCCCCAATTCTGCTGTGCTTCCCGCTCCATCCCCAACATCCCGCTGTCGTTCCGGGTCCGTGGATGCAGAGCAGGGGTTGCCATGGCAACAGGTGGGGGGYCTGGGCTGCTCCTGCAGGCCCTGGAGTGGGGGGACACGGGACCCCGATATGGGATGGGGGGGAGGGAGAGGGGCAGCGGTCGCTGTCCCTTGTCCCGTGGGATGCTCGGAGTGTCCCCCGCTCCGGGCAAGATTCCCATCCGGCAGCGCATCCCGGGGCAGCGCTGCCAGGCAGGATTGGGGAGGGGGGTGGCTCCAGGGGCTCCGGGGACCTGCAGCTCCAGCACCATGGCAACCGCGCCGAGAGCCCCTGAAATCCCGCTTGGAAAATGGGATTGGAAAACCCAGGGGGGCTKCGAGCGCTAAGAGCCCCCCCGAATGCCCGGGCCCTCCCCCTGTGCCGCCTGCGCCCGCCGCGCTCGGCTCCGCGCTCTGCCGGCGCCAAGTGACAGGCGGCCCTCGGGGCCTGGAGCAGCCTGCATCCCGCAGCATCCCACTGCATCCCGCAGCATCCCACTGCATCCTGCATCCCGCGGCATCCCACGGCATCCCACTGCATCCCACTGCATCCCGCAGCATCCCACTGCATCCTGCATCCCACGGCATCCCACTGCATCCTGCATCCCGCAGCATCCCACTGCATCCCGCAGCATCCCACTGCATCCCGCAGCATCCCACTGCATCCTGTATCCCACAGCATCCTGCAACCCGCAGCATCCCACACCATCCTGCATCCCACACCATCCTGCTGCATCCTGCATCCCACAGCATCCTGCTGCAGCCTGCAGCATCTCACTGCATCCTGCATCCCACTGCATCCTGCATCCTGCAGCATCCCGCATCCCGCAGTATCCCACTGCATCCCACAGCATCTTGCTGCATCCTGCATCCCACTGCATTCAGCATCCTGCAGCATCCTGCAGCATCCCCATTAAAGCTTGTAGCTCGCTACAAGCGCTGAGAACCCACAATGCTCGCTACGCATGTGCCGAGAACCCACGCTGCTCATTACATGCGCGCTGAGAACCTGGGCTGCTCTGGGTGCACTGAGAACCCACAACACTCACTACATGTATGTTGAGAACCCGCATGCTCACTACATACATGCTGAGAACCCACAGCACTCACTACATACATATTGAGAACCTTCCCACTCGATATCTGTGCAGAGAACCCACATGTTCACTACATACGTGCTGAGGCCCCACACTGCTCCGTGCATGCGCACTGAGAACCCTCCCACTCGCTACACACATGCTGAGAACCCACAGCACTCACTACATGAATGCTGAGAACCCGTGTGCTCACTACATATGTGCTGAGGCCCCACGCTGCTCGTTACACGCATGCTGAGAACCCTCGCGCTCGCTGTATGCGCACTGAGGCCCCACACTGCTCATTACACACATGCTGAGAACCCTCCTGCTCACTACATACATGCTGAGACCCCCCCACGC